AGATTTTATAATAAAGACGAATTTATAAAATTTTAAGAGAAGAAAACAGATTATTAATAAAAAAATACAAAAGAAATCCAAACTGGAATTTCAAAATTTTTAAGAGAGACGACACCCCTACCAGCCCCTCGATCTATCCCTATACATAAACATACATAAACGAGTATGAAAAAACAAATAAAAGTGACAAGGAAAAAGTATATATACAGGGAATATGTAGCTCGAAAGTATTACTCAGGACAAAAAGAGAACTTACAGATGTAATAATCTAACAACCATCTCGGATATATTAAATTGAATTGGTATAACAAGAAGGTAAGATCTTGAGAATTTAATGTAATTAATTCTAGACGGTCTGCCATCACTGAAAAGAAACCTAATATTTCTACTAGCTGGACAAAAGGAAAATGGATGGAATAACTCTTCCATGGCCCCGCATGCATCTGATGTCAATATTTTTCTATTTTACATGCGCAGCCTCACCAATGGAAAGTGATATTCATGCCTGATTTGCATGGAAAATCCACAATAAAAAATTAAAACAGAGGTGGACTGATGTTTCATGCCTTGAGGAGCCATTGGTTTAGTGTAAAACCAAGAAAGAAAAATGCTCAGTGAAGTTCACATAAGACATTGCTTTCGGGTGTGGACACCATAAGGATTGAAAAGTACCTTTATTTTGTGTCTGCAGGGACTGGTTTCAGTATCCATTTACTTCAAATAAAGTTCAAACTCCATAGCCGTCAATGTAGTCTCCACTTCACTAATTAAATCAATATGGCTTAAAAATCTTTACATGCTTTCTTACATGTGTCCTTTCCATGAGCACCACAAAAGTAAAATATTTTATCCCTTATGGTCAAGTGCAAGACAGTATCAGCATTCCCCCGCCCCCCCCTTTTTTTCAAGTCTTCATGTCAAGAATTGACATTTATTATTATTCATAATCATAGCAAATAGAATTGACATCTGAACTTGCATTGAACTAGTGCTACCTAATTCGCGGTTCGTTTTGATTCGCAGACCGAGTACAAAATCCGTTGGGGAATAATTTGGTTATGATTGATTCATTATATAGATTAAAATTGGTCTTTTCCCTTTCCATTGCTTAATTGAAAGAAGAGTTGTACAACACTCGACTTAAATTATGTTCTTCCTTATGATTGATTCATTATATAGATTAAAATTGGTCTTTTCTCTTTCCATTGCTTAATTGAAAGAAGAGTTGTACAACACTCGACTTAAATTATGTTCTTCCCGATGCTAGTACATAGATTGTGGTGCTGAATCTAGGCGTTTCTTTTTCTTCCCTCAATATTAAATTTGTTTGCTTTTGTTGTTCTGGGTTTCGATATGCCAACTTACTCGTTCCAACACGCGTTTTACAACAAATTGGAATTCGAACGAATCCCAAATTAGAATGGATGAATTCAAACGAGACTCGTGGGAGTCGGGGCGAATTGAGTAACACTGCATCGAGATAACATCTAAAGTCGAAGTCCAATGCCACCTAGCATAATGTTCTCGCAAAAGAATATACACAAAAAGAAATAATAAACTGGTTTACATAGAACTCTATGTATGTTCAAATTGAAAAGCATAATGAATGGTTTAAATGATCTGATCCAAACATATCGTTATCCAACCATCAGTTGACTTTGTTTATGAAGGTGATTGGCTTCACAAAGCAAATTCTTCAGCTTTTCTAAACGTGAGTATTTTTTTGATCTTCCTGTTCTTCACAAAACAACAAGATTAAACATTAACAATATTGATAAAATCATTACACTTCATTTATCTTTGCTTTTCTTGGATAAGTGGAGTGGAAAATGAAGGCTAGGATAAGGGTAGAGCCACTATGAGGTCTTCTCCTTGCTTCATTTATTACTGAAAGCAGTTTCTTAAGACTATCCTGCACAATATTAATTAAGAAACACAACAATCATTTGTTTGCAAGTCACAATCTCAATGGAATTTAACATTAAACTCTCCAGAAATATGACATCAGTAAGGACAGCAATAAGCTACAAGCGACAAGCATTTGAATTCTGCATTGCTTGAGGGAGATGAGAATAAATGTCTTTACGTTCTATGTTAACGTAGAAGGCAGAGATAAAAAAAAAATTCAGCATGACAAAAGTTACATATATTCTGCAGAATCTTTGCTCACTCTTAATGGTTATTGGCCTTTGTCAACAAGAGCTTCTTTTTCTTGTTTAGGTCAAACGTTTCATTTTTTTCTATCTAAATTTCATCATAATAAAAGTTTCTTGTTGATATTCTGATTTCTCCCAAATTGTACAGGAAAATTTAACTCAAGAAAACATAGTTAACAACATTCTTCACATAGTGACTGCAATATGACTCACTGAAAGGCTAAATATTTCTGGCAGAGGCCAATGGATTTACATATCCAAGGCAGAAGCATTAACTATGGAGGATAGATGTAAAGAGACAGACAAATGGAAGATCTCTCTTAATAAAAGTTTGCAATGCTAGCTGAGCTAGGTTCAGGTGCAAAAGATTCTATTGGAAGGGAATTTCATGACCAAGAAAAAGCCATTTGAAATAAGAATTTTTGGCATATTAATACCACTAATGGTAACTTCAAGGACAAAGATGTTTTTAATGAAAGAGAAAGATAATAAACTTTTCTTCCAAAAAAGTAGATACTATATGTCATGATATTCAACATTTGATAAAAGCTTGGTTTGAGGCATCCCACCAAAGTGTGAGAATAAATGGGAGAAAGGAGTGGTGAAGGGGAAATGTAGGTGGCATTGTTTGTGAAGGTGATGGTGTTTTTTTTATTTGTGGGACTTGATCAATACTTTCACTCCCAAATCCAAGTAGTGATCTGTCATGAGCCATGTGGATGTTCTTGAACCAGCTAATATGTTCTTTCCATGGAATTGTTGATCTTCAAGCAAGGGTGTCTGTTGGCCTTTCAAAAGTTAAACACAGATGATGATACCTATATTCTCTTGCAATTTTAAAAAGAAAGTTGTATTTAAGTAAGTTTATATTTGACTGGCTATCTAAGCATAGATTTTGTCTTTAACTAGTTTTTTTAATCAGAAGGAATATGTTAAGCTTCACAAAGGTACAAGTAATTGGGTGATCTGATTGGCTGATTAACTGAAAGACTTTAGAGTTGAAGTGGTTTGAAAGGAACAAAACTTTCAGCATTTTATATATTTAGTGGAGATAAAATTGGGTTGATAATTATTTTGTTTTATAATTATCATGACATGTTGCATTAAATCAAACACTAAAAACTCATCAAACAAGAACTAGATCCCTCTGGAATTTGATCACACTAATAAATCCTAAATTAATATGTTTGTAGGGTCAATCTCTAAATTAGATATAATGACATGTTTGTGTTACAGTTTGCTACTGTTTTCCATGGTTGTCTTTCTCATCTACTTGGCTTATACAATCCCATAATCTACATGATGCTAACGGGGAGTTGCAAGTCTCACCTTTACTGTCCTCTCCATGTTCCCACAACTATCAGTTTCTGCTATGTTTCAATTGTCTACTATTTTATAGGAATTTAGCTTTGTTTTCTAGTAAATAATTATCCAATCTATTTATTTCAAATAACTAACAGTCTATGGCCACATTGAAATTTTCCTTGTCGATCGTACACAAAGATGATTTTTCTAAAATTTGAAGGTGACGACCTTCGAGGTTGGATTCTTAAAGTGGAAAAATATTTTTGCTACTATTAGACTGAATGGATTGAAAGTGGACAATGCTGCAATGCATTCTGAAGGTGATGCACTGGGTTTGTTTCCATGGCTAAAAAATAAACCAACTTTAGTTTTTTAAGAACGAGTTTGATAAGGCACTCCAAAAAATTACGACACCACTGAGTTTCAAAATCTAAATGAATACCTATGCGATATCCGCCAAATGAGAACCATTCAAGAGTGTAGGAAAGAATTTGCAAGAAGATCAACAAGAGTATCAAATTGGTCAGACCACACATAGTGTATCAAACTATGACTTTGACCATGAAATTTGAGTGTAAATTAGGCATAACCCATATGTCCAAGGGGTCTAATTGGTTTACTTCCTCGAGATGTACATGTTCTCTTCTTCCGCATAAAAAAAAATCTACATTAACAATTTCCCAACAGCCACACGTAGCCATCCATCATCGTCCCACCAAATCACCCACCCAAATACATCTAGTCTATGGGCTGTTGAGCGTCAAAATCAAATTTCTAAAGGCTTGTGTTCCCGTTGCAATGAGAAATTCGGCCCTGGTCACATGCAACACAAGTGCTTTCTCTTTGTCGGAGCTTACAAACGGTGACAAAGAAGCTGGAGAGGAGGACAACATTAATCCTGAAGATGAGTCCAATGATGCAACACGTGTTGATGTTGGGCTAAATATTACTTTAATACCAGTTTTCACACTTCACCAGGGACTACACCCTTCAAGATTGTATATGGGAAGACCCCCTCCACTCCATCCCTTTGTTCAAGAAGAAATACACCTTGCGGAGCTAAAAGAATAGCTTCTTCGTAGAGATGACATGCTATGACTGTTAGAAGCAAATCTCGAGAGGGCTCAATCACCCATGAAGGCACAAGCTGATTCCAAGCGTAGGGAAGTGAGTTTTAACGTTGGTGACCGTCTTCTTACATGTCTAGTCATATCATCAACACTCTCTTGCTACGGCATGAGAAACTTTCTTCTCGATTTTTCGAGCCCTACAAAGTTATACGACGAATCGAACCAGTTGCTTATGAATTGGAACTGCCGGCTTCTTCTAAAGTTCACCTGATTTTTCATGTTTCACTACTATGCCTAGCTCTTGGCCATACACCAGCTAGTCCCACCCCCCCTATTACCTCTGACTGGGAAATGATTTTGTCTCCTAAAATATTGTCTCATCATTGGATTAAGGCAGCAAGAGTTCCTACTCTATGACTATTAGTTGGATGCGATGAACTACTAGTGAAAACGATTTTCGCAGACAAGGTTAGACAAAATGACAATTTCACAAGCAAACATGTTCCAGAAGTTGGGTATCTAATCATGATACATAAGGATTAAATGAATGCTACAGTTAAATTTGTTTTCACAGGCCACGAATTGCCACTCTTATTCACTGCAAGTGTGCCTGTTATTTAAACCATCTCATCAAAGTTCTACCAGTGCACATATCATGCTGTTTGAAACTACAGTGGATTCCTATTTACATCTTTATACAGCAAATATCGTGACCGGGTTTTTCCAAGTGCAGCGTACCTGAAATGGTAGCAAAATGTATCAGTCTTCAGGTCTCAAATCTGCAGAAACTAAAGGAAGAGAACATTCTGACATCCTAGCAAGAAAATTTCAGAGGTTATGTTATTCTCACCATTGAGGCACAAAAGGTGCCATCCATATCACATCACCAGCTTGAACCGAATACCTGTTGACGGTAGAAAGAGAAAAGTTATGAAAATGGCCTTTTTGGCAGATATTTGTGTGAACAATAAGATGATAACACAAGATAGATAGCCTTGGGAAAGCTTTAGTATGTTACTTCTTTACTTTGTAAGGGCATGTCCTATATGGTCTATGCAAGCAAATTCCATGGAAGACGGCATATGACATCAACTAGAAGACACGCAAGAAAACACAACTGTTTGCAAAGAAAATAAAACACTAAAAAGGAGAATTTTCTTGTTCTCCCAGTGTAGAACTATGGAAACTGCATGTCAAAAGCTTTTATAGAAAATTTTATATTCCATGATAACCACGTATGGCTGGTAAACGTGATGATAGTCAGAACTATCAGTTTCCTTTCTAGAAATTACTCACAAAATGGCTCATGCACAATAAAGGCAATGTGTACACAATTTGTAGTATACTTCAACAAGGCTCCAACACTCATACCAGCTATCCCCCAGGCGATAAATGCCCTGTCCCTCTAAAAGCAGCAAACCATGTTGATTATAATGGACCTCCTGCAAAAAGGAAAAGGAAAACTCATCTCAAAAGATGGTCAACTATAGGGAGCACTGGGATATTCATGGTCATTGGAGTATAATAGAAATCACACCTGGATCAGAATGGTTAGAAAACGCTCATGTTTAAGCCTCTCAAAATGTGTCAAAAAAAGAACTAGTAAACTTTAGCCTAATCCGGAGTCTACACATGAATGTATTAGTCAATTTCATTTTCCTTCTACTTTTTAGTAATGGTAATATATTTCCTTTTCTCTTTGATGATTATCAATTCTACATAAGGAATCAAATTAAATTTGAATACCAGCAATTATCAAATGATATGTAAGTAGTGGATGGGGCTATTAGTTGTGTTGGGATGGTAGGAGGTATAGGTGGTATTCTTAGAGATTGGAATCACTCTACTCTCCTGTCTTTTCAGAAAATGTTGGTCCTAGCCCTCCCCCTCTAGCAGAATTGAAAGCTATAAAAAAAGCATCAACATCTTTATCCTTTCAGAATGGGTTTCGAAGGGTAGGCTGATTGTTGAAAGTGATTGCAAGGCAGCAGTGGATTGGATTAAATCTCCTTCTTCAGCTACTATTTTCTTCTTTAATTTAGTAAAGGACATTGTGTCTATTGTTTCAGTTAAGGGGATTATTCTTAGGTTGGTCCCTAGGGGTTGTAATTGTGAGGCTGATAAGCTAGCAAAGGAGGGGATTGGGTGTTTGTAAGTTTTTTATCAAGTTGTTCTGTGTGTCTTTAGATAACAGTTGTATTAGGTGATTTTTAAGTCTTATGTAATCTGTTTATCAATAATATACTGAGGTACTCTTTTCCTCCTTCCGTTAGTCGGTTCTTTCCTTAGGGTAAAGGACTACTATGAGGGAGGTTTTTAATGAGGCCTCCTACTTCTATAAAAAAAAAATGATATGTAAGTATCAATCATCAAGAAACAAAAGCTTACCTTAACATTAAGGAATTCTCCTGGTTGAAAATCCATAATCTATAATAAAGGAAAACCAAACATCAGTTATACAGTCAGTAAAGAAGGCTTACCAAAGCATATCATACCTAAGTATACAATGGAAATGATTCTAAGTTTTACATTTATTGAGTCGGAAACAACTTTCAAGTGGTGAGCCAAAGCAAGAATCTGAATGACAAAAAATAATAAGAAACCAGTACCTTCTCCCTTGGTAAGCAACTGGCAATCAAGCCTAATTAATTTATAATTAGCATTTACGGTGTAAACTGCATCACCTTACGGTGACAGAACTTGCTCGTCAAATATTTTTGGTTTTAACCTTGGAAAACCTAATATATGAAGGTTTGTCATGAATATATTTTTAAATTCTATCACTGATTGATTTGACAACCATTGAATGCTAGTTTAGCACCTAAAGGAAAGTTATATGAAGCACAAAAATGAAATGAAAATACAGAATTATCAATTAAGGTTTGCAGCATGCATACCTTATTACCATGAAGATTAATTTTCATCTTTTACGCAACATGAAATTGTTTTTTTATCCCAATTTTATCATCCAAAGTCCCCAGCAAAAGAAAATGTAGGCGCACACACACTAAAAAAACACCCGTAGTTTAACATGTCTTCTTCAGTCTTAAAGTCTCAAACCAAACAAAATTTGGATATTTGTATTGGAAAATAACAGTATTGGAAAATAACATAGTAAATAATCATAGAATAAACAAAGACAAGAAGTAAAATTCGGGAAGTAACTATAACTTACATGGATATTGAAGTCATAAGGCATTGATGCTGGAAGAAGCTTCCTAAGTTCAAACACCTGTAAAGTAAAGAAAGGTCATATAATAAACAAATTCAGAAATCATCATGTATATAAGTTCAGCATGGGCATTGTTTTTAGATTTTTGTACGGAAAAACAACTTCTTGATAAACATTCATCATCAATATAATGCAATGTAATTGAAACACTTTACATGTAGGAAAAATGGTATTGTTTTATATATACAAATCTGGAAACTACAATAAAATACTGACAGTAAAGGAACAAAGAAGATGAAGGAAAACCATTTTACCTCACCAGGTGTTTCAAGAAGTGGCAGCTTATCTGTTGAACCAACAATCCGCTCAGTGATGTGATTATCCAGACAGGCATATCTACAGAAGGGAAATTAGCACATACTAAGAGAATTAGATATTAATAACTAAGAACGTAGAAATAATACGTATCAATTAGCTCTTCCTTTTTACAATAATAAAAGATGAGAGAGCGTTAGAGAAGTAGAGAGAGAAAAGGCGAAAGGCAAGTTAGTTTCCGATGAGATTTGGACGGTGTTTGTGGATAATCTTAGTCGGTGAGTGTCACGACGTGCATTAAGGGAAATGTTCTTAGTTCATGGTCCTGTTCAGAGAGTTTTCATTCCCAAAGAAACAAGAAATCCAAAATACAAGTTCTCCACCTTTGCTTTTGTTCAGCTTGGGAGTGAGATTGGTTTGAAAACGGCAGTAGATAAACTAAATGGTTCATTAATAGATGGGAGGAGGATTACAGTTGGAGCTGCAAGATATAAGGAATCTCGTTCAAGGGTAGAGCGTAATAATAGCTCTTTGAAGAAAGCTTCATGTCCGATTACTGCAGAAACATCTAACTCAAAAGAGGTAGATAATACTAACAGAAGTGTAAGGGATGATAGAACTTATAAAGACGCTCTGTTGTCGAACAGGATGTCTAGAAGTGCACTGGGGAATAGGGAGTTATCACCTGTAGGTCATCAGAGGGGGAAAGATAAGAAAAATATTTTGGAAATGCACATTCCAACGGAGAGCTCGAGCTGGGCTAAAAGATCATTAACAGGGATCATTAAACATTCATTTGAGCTAGAGTTTGTTCAGAAGGCTTTAGTTAATGAAGGCTATGATGTCCAAATTGCTAGACGGGGATATGTCTGAAATTCTTGTGTAATAGTGATTAAATCATCTGAGGAGATGTCGTAGGTTTGGATGAAGAAGAAAGATGAACTTGATTTCTGGTTTGATCGTTTGGAACCATTACTGAATGAAGGAGTTCCAATGGCTTTTTGACTGGTTGAGCTATTTGGGAGTCCTCTTTTATGCTGAAATGCTCTTTTTCTGGAACGTATAGCAGGGAGTTGGGGAAGGGTGGTAGATATTCATGATGCCACTAAACACATGGAAGATCTTACAAAGGCGAGAATTTTAATTAGGGTGGCTAGCCTTTTTGACGTTCCAGAGGTGATTACTCTTGGAGCATATGGAAGATTTTTCAAAGTCAGCATTAAGATTGGTTCGGCGCATGAGTCTTCAAATTATTTTTCCAGCAAACCTCCAGTAGTTGGTTCCGATGAGGGACAGTTTGGAGTATTCTTGTCTGAGAAGAAAGAAGTCAAGGAGTGGTCAGAAAGTGAGGGAGGTTCAACGACATCAGTAGAAGAAAATCGTTAGAGGGTTGACAAGTGGATTGAACAGGGAACTGATCTTGGGTTTGGTGGAGTTGGTGGAGAACATCAGTTTCCAAGGTTTACCAAAGATGGGAAATGCATTAAAAGAGGGCTGTCAGAATTTCATAAGGTTGGGAGTATCAAAGTGGGGGAGTTTGTCGGTTTGGGGTTTAGAAATTCAAAAATTTCGGTTGATGGGTCACAAGCCCAATCAGAAGATGATGGGCATTCTGGGCCTAATGTTTCAAAAATAATTCTCGTTGGTCTAGCAATTAAAATTGACAAGTTTGGGAAAATGATTCATAAGCAAAATTCAGTTGAGTATGGAAATAATAATAAAGAAGAAGAGGGGAAGAGGTCAGATTCAGAGAAGTTTGATCAGGCTGGATTAGAGCTTCATGATTAGGAGTTAATGTTGTTAGAGCCAAGGATAAATATTGCAGGAAGTATTTCAAGGGGTAGAACTTTGTTTCGGACTAAAAGATCGTTGTCTACAAAAAGTGAACCGTTAGAGAGAAGAACAATGAGTAGCTTTAAAAGGGTGTATAAAAGATCTAGGGACAGAAAATACTGGTTTGGGAGCGTTTTGAATTTTATGCCTGAAAGAGAGGAAGAATTAGTCATTAAGGAAGGGAAAGATCAGACCTCAAGAGCTATTCAACAGGTTATTTTGACAGCAGACTTAGAAATTCATGGGTGTGAGGATCCTACTAATGGTAGATGTTCGGGTGATAAGAGTGTGGATAGGGAGGTTGAAGGGTGGTTGTCAATAGGAGAAAGCACAAGCTTCAATTCTGGTTTTGATAACAGAAGAGCTAAAAGACACCTGATAAGGGAAGTACTAGAACAAGTCAGCATTACAACAGTCTCCTCTTCAGCCTTTTCGTATTTATTGGAGGAAGCTATAGCTACGTGGGAAATAAGTAAACTCTTGGTGGTCTCTTTTAAGCAAGGGAAAGAGGCTTTTTTGGAAAAGATAATCAGTTTGGAGAAAGGTTTGAATATGGTCAATCAAGGTGAACTTGATGGGGGTTTAGATTGATGTTTAAATACTGATGAAGATTCAGTTAATCATTGTTTTATGGAATATTAGAGGCTTCAGTAGAAAAGAGAAGCAGAGGGTTGTTTAGAGGTTAGTTGCTAAATACTATCCTCATTTTCTTTGGCTGCAAGAAACTAAAACGACGAAGATTAAAAGATCTTTTCTTAGAAGAAATGGGTTAAATAATCTTCAAGGTGTTATTGAATCTCCATCAGTTGGTTCATCAGGGGGTTACTGAGTTGTTGGGATGATAAAATTTTTGAGTTGGAAAATCAGTATATTAGTAGAAGATTCATTGCTTTATCATGAAAATTTCGTGCTAATAATTTCATATGTAGATTCATCAATGTTTATGGCCCTTCAGTGGAGGAGGAGAAAGCTAGCTTTTTTGAAGAGTTAAGCATGTTCATAAGTGGACAGAGTGATCCTATTTGTGTAGGAGGGGATTTTAATGCTTATTTACATGAAGAAGAGAAGATTAGTAGAGCTCAAAACAGGAATTCAATGGGGATCTTCCGTCAATTTATTCTTCAAACAGGTTTAATTGATCTACCCTTGAATGGGGGTAGGTTTACTTGGTGTAACAACCAAGATACCCCTACTTATGTTAGACTGGACCAGTTTTTGGTTGATGGTCAATTTATGGCTACTTTTCCTGATATTGTTCAATCACTACTGCCAAGGTCTATATCAGATCAAAATGCATTACTGATTGAGAATGGAGGTGTTAATTAGGGTAAAAAAACCTTTTAAACTATCTAATTATGTAGGAATTATAGAGATGATTTGTTACCATTCCTATAGAGATATGATTTGTTATCATTCCTATAGAGATATGATTTTGTAAATAGATTTCTACAATCCCTTATTTTAAGGGATCATATCCTAGGATTATTATTTTTCTTTTCTTAGAGTTTCCTACTTTAGAGAGATATTTTGTATATAAATATGTAATCTGTCATATTAAAAACAATAAGAAATTACAGAGAATTACTCTGATTTCTACATGGTATCAGATCTTAGATTACGGTTTCTTTCCAACCTAAATGATGTCCACAACTTCTTCTCCTACTCCGGAGATCACTTCAAATCCAGAAAAATTTTCTGGTTCTGCTGTACAATCAGAAGGTAATCTGGTCATGAAAGAACCAGAAGGTAAACCTCATGCTACAGTTTTTTTCTCATCCCAGTCGTCCCCTAATTGGATCCTCGATTCTGGTGCTACGGATCATATGACTGGTAATAAGGATTTGTTTTGCAATTTTTTTCCAAACTTTGGTAAAGCTGTCAAAACGGCTGATGGTTCTTTGTGCAAAATAGAAGGACATGACACTGTTATTCTCAATGACCAGATTGTACTTAAAAATATCCTCTTCGTACCAAATCTGGCTTGCAATCTCGTTTCTGTTAGTAAACTTTCCATCGACTTGCACTGCTCTGCAATTTTTAATGATATTAATTGTACTTTGCAGGCACTGAACTCGAAGAAGATGATTGGTAAGGCCAGCTTGCAGAATAGTCTCTACATTCTTCCTGCCTCTACTAAAACCGAAATCTCGAAATCTTTCACCGCTTTAAAAAAAGTTGATAATGTTATGTTATGGCACTATCGTTTAGGTCATCCTAGTTTTCACTATCTTGCAAAAGTTTTTCCTGCTTTATTCATTCATAAAAGGCCAAATTCTTTTTCTTGCAAAGTTTGCTCTCTTGCCAATCATACTAAATCAACTTATTTTCCTTCTACATATAAGCCTTCTCACCCTTTTGCTTTGATCCACAGTGATATTTGGGGTCCTTCTCGGGTGAAGAATGCTGATAATTGTAAGTGGTTTATCACTTTCATTGATGATCACAGTAGGATAACTTGGACTTATTTGCTAAAAGATAAATCTGAAACTGCAGGTGTTTTTACCCAATTTTAGAACATGGTTCTCACTCAATTTGGGTCTAAAATTCAGCTCTTTAAATCTGATAATGGCAGTGAATTTTTTGCTAAGTCTTTGGGTGCGTTTTTCAGGAAAAAGGGCATAGTTCAGATTAGTTCTTGTGTTGACACCTCACAACAAAACGGTATTGCAGGAAAAAAAATAGACACCTCATTGAAGTTACTTGTTCTCTTCTATTTACCACTAATGTTCCAAAATATTTGTGGGGGGAAGCCTTATTAACTGCCACATATTAAATCAATTGAATGCCTAGTAAGGTTTTACAATTTCAAACACCTCAATCTATATTTTTGCAATAATTTCCCTATTTTAAACCTTTCTCCTCCATTCTTCCACTTAAAATATTTGGTTGTACTGTTTTTATCCAAAACATTGCTCCTAATAAGTCCAAGTTAGATCCTAAATCATTAAAGTGTGTACTTGTTGAGTATTCTTCACTTAAGAAGGGTTATAAATGCTATCATCCTCCTTCAAAACGATTTTTTACCACTATGGATATAACATTTTATGAGCATGATCCCTATTTCACTCAGGCTGAAATTCAAGGGGAGACATAGAAGGATTTTCAGCCACATCAGGTATCTCCTCCTACTATTCATTCTTAACCTTCAGAATTACCACCAATTTTGTCCTTACCTACAGATTTGTCACCTGTAACTACTCCCATTGATCCACCGGTAGTACCTATAACTACACCCATACCCACTTTAA